TAAATAAGCAGATGACCGATTAGGATTCATAGGTATGTGTATATGCTGATGTTATCGTTTTATAATATATGTATTATTTTGAGTTAGATTGCATCTAGATCTTTTATTTTGATTCTCTACCTATAACTCAGGCACGAATACGATTCATTTGGAAAGAAAGTCATGAAGAAAAAATGCACACATGATTTAGAAAGTTCATAGTATCCGGGCTGAGATATATACAACCAAAAATTTCACTGTTCTGAAAAGAAAAACTGATACCCTTGTTTAACATTTTCTTTCCATAAAAGTTAATTTTATTCTTATTAATTTTACACCTGAACCAGAAACCATAACAAGTTAATTTGATTAGCTACAGTCTATACAAGTCGCTTCTTTTTGCTCTCTTTCTTTAGAGATAGTATTTCAGTGCATACATTTTTGCGATAAAATCATGTGAATTTTTGTTATCACTAGTTCAGCGAGATATCGCTAATCTGAAAACTACAACGCTATCAATTATTCAAACAAACGAAAACATAAGAAACATAATTTAGTTGCTATGACTCATTGTTCATCCGCTTGTTGCTAACAACAACAAAACGAACAATAAAACATCTCACCTCTCGTTAACAACAGAAACAGGAAGAATCTTAGTTTAAGGTATCCTTTTTCTGATGTCTAGAGATTAAGACTCTAAAACTAAACTGGAGATCATTGTTCTATGGCTTGTAATCATAGCGTAATTACGAAAAATATGGTCATAGATGAAATACAATGGGCCCTAAGTTCATTAAATAAGAAGGAGTAGGCCCATTTGAAGGACTTACCCAGTCCAAATAATTTTCTTTACTCGCCATGTAAAGAAAAAGGACCTTGTTTAATAAATAGAAAGCCCATTTCGTATAACGGTGAAAGAGGCCATGTGGACGGACACCTTCGCCTAAGCCTTTTTTTTTTGGATGACAGCTCCTAGGAAAATAATTATTTAATATTGTTTAAACATCTCGTTTTTAAATTAATTATTTAATATTAACAAAATCATTTTCATTTATAGTTCCACACTGACTTGCTTTGGGAAAAATAAAGTACATTCGATTTGGGTGAGGAAAACTTAATCATGAAAATAATTATATATAATCTTGTATTTTGGTAAGGGACCATTTTGTTGATTATTTTATCTGATATTATATACACAAAGACCATGTAGTTTTGCAATATAAAGCATTGGTGGAGAAGACTCAATGATCACCAAAAATTGGATAGTAACTATATTCACTTTATCTTATCCAAAAATTAATATGAATAAGAAGCATTACAAAGAGGTAGAAACTCTTTTAATTAAAAAAAACCTGTGAAACCAAGACGGATCCTAGTTGATGGTAACGGGTTATTGAAAACGATCATGAATCGCCAAATTTCAAATAATAAGAGAAGCACCTTTGTTGCTATTCTGTTTCTCTATCTCCATTTCCAATATGTCACTGGATTCAAAATGTGACAAACTAGGACACATGAAACCTGAAAGATAGTCAAACCTTAGATTGAGATACTGCTCCCAAAAGATCTGAAGCTTCGGATCCAAAAATGACATGGTCCAATATGTGACTCAATATGCTTTCCATAGTCCACACAATGTTCTTAAACTTGGTATCAAACAAGTTATCAATTTGTGAAAAAATACGTCTACTATCAAATATGAATATATTCACCTATATAAAGCTAACAAAAAAAACTTATCTCGAAAGGTTTTTTTTTTAAAACCAAAAATCTACTTCTTATACATATATCATTGCCATGTAACCCCAATAAAATGCAACGTTTCCAACATTTGTTTGTGATCTTCGTATATGATCCTAACTAACTTTTCGACGAGGAAAAAAAAAAGGTTTGGATCCGCATGCTCATCGAATGTTGAGTTGTTGACTAACATAAATCATTAAAAATCTTGGATTATGAATATGCTATATTCATGTGTTTTCTTTAAAAAGGAAAAAAAAAAACTATAATCATGTTTCAAACTTTGAACGATTAGAAAAAAAATTGTGAAACGGAAATGGAATCCCTAAAGCATATAAAGTTCACGTGCGAAATCAAAGTACTAAATAGTTGATGATATTTATACTTTAAAGAAGTTAATTAAGATATACAGTAGAAATAAATAAAAAAATGACGAACAAGTGTACGGCGACTTGATGAAGATTAGAAGGACCGCAAGGAAAAGAGATTGTCAAATTCAAATGTCGAAGACTTTTTAGTTCCATAAATAGATAAGAGATAAGTGACCTCACTCTAGATTCTCTTCCTCATCTACTTTTTCTATCTCCTCTGGTTAAACTTTTGAAATTGCGTTTTTCTTTTGTTGTTGTGTAATACCCACTTTATAATGGTGGAAAATATTATTGATACGGTTTAAATTTTAACTCACAGAGTGTTCCAGTTTTTAGTTAAGTGAGCCATAATAACCAGAGGCGGACACATGTTAAGACGGATTAGTAATTAGTATAAAATCCCATTTAGATGTATTTTGTAATTAGTATAAAATCCCATTTAGATGTATTTTGTATTATCTATATACTTATAATACAAGAACATTTATATACCTCAAAGCTAAATGATTTCTTAGATTCGACCCTGATAAAAACTATTTAGCATCTTAAAATTTTTATTTGCACTTACATGATTATTTTTTCATTTGTAAATAAAATTGCATCAGATGCATGTGGTCCGAAATCTAGAATCCACAACTGGTATGTTAGAGCATCTGTAACGGTGACTTTTTGAAAGTTTTTTAGATGGGGTTCATGGATTTTTTCCATTTAAAATAATTGAATAAAATCTAATTTCTATAAAACAGGTTCTAATTATAGAATTTTTAGAGACATGTTCATAAGAGGTTTATAGTGACATGTCAGAATTCTATTAGTTAGTATTTTTTCTCTTCCATCTTCTTTTTCTTTTTCTCCCTTTCTCTCTCTTCTCTTCCACTTCTCTCTTCTTTGATCTTCTCTTTCTTTTCAAATTTTTTATCAATTAAAAATTTAAGGTGAACCTCACGAGTTCACCATTGTAGATGCTCTTAAGTCTGCAATTATTAATTAAAAAAAGTTCGAAATTCACTTTTTAGAATCGAGTAACATGAAAGTAACATTGGACTGCTATTTATCAATTCATTTCCTACTTTCTTTTTTGCATAAGAAGGCAATAATAAAACTGATAAGATAATATATATTCCTTTTGTTATAGCCGTTAAATAAAAAAATAAATAAAATGGTTTCTCAACTCTCAAAAAGTTTCGTTTTCAACTTTACAAATTTACAGAGTGTTGGGTAGAGACAAAGGCTGTGAACTAAATTGACATGTTATATGGCTCCAATAAGTTGGAATCTCTGCCTGCACGATCTGTTTTATCTTAAACAGAATTTCTTACTTCGATATTATAACTCCCAAAAAAGAGGATCATAATTTCAGATGAAATATGCAATGATTTGGATTATCATACCTTAACAAAATAAATAAATAACTGTTGCATATACTGGTATGTGTTTTGTAGCATGCAGACGACAATCTAGTTGAAGTATAGCAAAAGTTTTTTCTAAGCATTATATATGATATATCTATCATACAAAGATTATTTTGCTAAGGGTAATATATCTCCGAAACATTTTGGGTCATGTTATTGCGAATAATATCAAACTAAAGCATTATATAAATTTATATCATTATTTGTTTATTCCCTATTTTATAAGGCAGCCAAGAACGTTACGTTCTCGTTTCCACAGTTTTTACAGCGACTGTCCTCTTTTATCAGAACTTTATATAAAAGCTAATAAGTTGGTTTTCCAAGGCATATACATATAGTATATATGTAGAAGACAATAGACAACACAATATGAAAATATGCATCATGAATTTTTATATTGGCCAGAAAATTACTTAGCAAACAATACATATATGTGTCATGTTTCAATGTAGGTGATACAATTTCCCATTGGATCGATTTGCTATCATTTACTCTGTAGTGTACTCCTGTGTTTCTTAGCCAAAAAAAAAAAAACTCTATGCTCCTGTGATGATTCATTTTTTTTTTCTTTTCATTTTACAGAAACCAAAACAAAATGGTGTAATTAAAAGAAGATAACGCAATTAAAAGAAGATAACTGCGTGGGAGTGGCCATATGATTAGTAGCTTCGTAATGCCAAATTTTAACAAATTCTGCAGAAAATAGAAAAACACCTATCCGTAGTAGCTTCTTTTACACACTTCATTTCATTGAAAGTCTCGTGTACTCGTTACTCCTTCTGTTTCATTGATTTTCTAAGTTTTTTTTGTTTTATAATATTTGATTTCCTAAATCTAATTAATACATGTCTCTTCTTTAAATTGAATGAATAATATTAATGCATGTTACTTTACTCTATTAATGCACAATTAGAAAAAAAAAGTAATAATAAAAATAATGAAACCAGTTATAAAAATAACTTAATTAATAAAAATAAACAATAAATAATTGAGCATTTATAACTTTTTTAATCTGTGTGTAAATATTCAAAAAATCAACTATAATAAAACAGAGGAAATATTTTCAAATATTTGTTACTTTTTTTTTTTCATTTTCTTGCGCATTTCTAAATCCTTATTCTTTCTTCTTTTTTTCCTTTTCATCATTTCTTATTTCGTTGACTCCAAACAAATTCAGCTTTTAATTATGTGGCATTACGAATCCATAAATATTGAGTGTAATTCTAAATTCCTAAATTTTGTAGATAAAATGGTCAAATTTAAATGCTATGAGCCTATGACAAATAGAGTACTCCGTATCTAAATACAACGCATTATACAATAAAGACAACAATGGAACCTAAATTACGAATAACCTTTATCACTATACGTTAAAGTATAAAACACTAATTGACTGGACCCTATCTCGCCTGTACCAGTAGTACGCATCCTTCGTTGTATCTTTCATTTTATTTGATATAACAAAAAAAAAAACATTCACAAGTGAAACCAAACTAAAACCACTGCCAAAAAGAATCTCACAAAATTGACCATAGAGTGAAGAGAGACAAAAATGGGCCGAGCTACGAGGTGGTTCAAAGGTTTGTTCGGAATAAAACCCTCTTCATGTTCCGGCTCCGGCGTCATTTCCAACCGCCTTGACCGTTCTGCACTCCCTGCGGCTGGAGTGTCACTATGCGACAGCTACGAGACGATACCTCCTAACATTTCGGAGAAAGAAGCTGCGTGGCTAAGGTCGTTCTACGCGGCCGGGGAGGAAGAGATAGAGCGTAGAGCGCATGCAATTGCAATTGCTGCGGCCACAGCTGCTGCCGCTGACGCAGCGGTTGCGGCGGCTAAAGCTGCGGCTGCGGTTGTAAAGCTCACGGGTCAAGGGAAGAGTGGTCCGCTAAGTGGTGGAAAAAGCCGTGAGAATCGTGCCGCTATGCAGATCCAATGTGCCTTTAGAGGCTACTTGGTACTAACTATTTTTTTTCAATTTAATACATTTCTTAATATTTTAATTATGAAGCAATTGAGCCGTTACATGATGTTAATGTCAAAGGCGAGAAAAGCGTTGAGAGCGTTGAAAGGAGTGGTGAAGATACAAGCTTTAGTTAGAGGTTTTTTGGTACGGAAGCAAGCGGCGGCTACTCTCCGGAGTATGGAGGCACTTGTTAGAGCTCAGGCCACTGTTAAGTTTCAGAGAGCTCTTCGCCGTATCGGAAACGCTGCTCCGGCGAGAAAGTCCACGGTAAACTTACTTTTCCGGTTTGACCGTATGCGAGTTTTATGCATATTAAACTCATCTCACCTCACCTCTGAAATCGGTTAAGAGTTCCATAATTTTTGATATGTTGATGTAATAAATTATGGTTACAAATTTTCATCTTCTTGCATAGAGTGTAAAAAGATTTAATCTATGTTGATGTCTCAAATTACGTTAAAAGATAAACTAGCATTTTTGGGCCAAGATTGAAACTTTTGAAATTTTGTAAAAAAGATGAAAACTTTTCTAACTAATTTTGTAAGTAGATTAAAACTTTTTTCAACTAGTTTGGTTTGTGAAAAGATAGAAACATTTTAACTAGTTTGAAAAAATATTGGAACTTTTTACAGGAAAGATTCTCCGGATCTTTGGAAAACCGAAACAGTGGCGAAGAGACAGCTAAGATAGTGGAGGTAGATACAGGGACCAGACCCGGACCTTATAGAATCCGAGGACCCGTTTTATCCGGTTCGGATTTTTTAGACAACCCGTTTCGACGCACGCTCTCTTCCCCGCTCTCGGGTCGGGTCCCACCGCGTCTGACAATGCCCAAATCCGAATGGGAGGATTGCAGCAGCAAGTTCCCTTCGGCGCAGAGCACGCCTCGTTTCGCCGGAGGGTCACCGTCGAGGAGCGTATGCTGCTCCGGCGGCGGAGTAGAGGCGGATGCGGAGGCTGAGGTGGATGCTCACCGGTTCTGTTTATTGTCGGGAGATTATCATTCGAGCTACATGGCGGATGCGACGTCGTTTAGGGCGAAACTGAGGTCGCAGAGCGCGCCGAGACAGAGGCCGGATATTAATACTGCCTGCGGCGGTTGGAGGAAAAGTATCGGCGGAAATGGTGGTTTGCCGGTGCAGAGACCGTCGTGTTCCGGTGTTCGAGAAGCCGTAGTCGGGAATATCGAAAGGCGTCGGGTTCAGTGGTGATTCTTATCGATATCATATAAATTAGTCTTTCGTCAGGGATATAATATGATTATTGAACGATGTTGAAAGGAAGAAAGGATTATTGAATATTGTTTGATAGTTTCGTACCGGAGTATCATTTTAGTTTTGTAATTTTGACTGACCAAGCTAAACATTGTTTGTTTCTTGTTGGTCTTTGTAGTATTGACATGCGAGTGTGAAAGATTGTGCTACATGCATGCAGATCTTTCTTTACTCCATCTGATTTGTCAATATGAAAACAGATTTTCATTACTTTGGTTCCAAAACGGAAAATTATTATTCGAATTGTTGGTTCCAAAAAAAAAAATGAAGCATTGATATTAAATTTCTAAAATGATTTCAAGCTAAAATATATAAATTCTAGTTGGAACAAAAACATATTGAGATCCGAGTATATATTGCCTACTACGCGCGCAGGAGACAGATTATATAGATAACAACTTAAAACGATACACGTGTCATCACGATTAACTTCAACGCTTGTGGAAAAGAGGAAAGTTGCTTCCTTCGATCTTAATCCATCTCTGTGAACACAAACGCGGAAGAACAAAACCAGAAAGTCCCCTCCGAGATTTCCTTTTTTTTTTGTTTTTCTATATCCTTTTGAAATTCATCTTCTCCATCGCCAATCCAGATTTCTCCAGGTATTTAAATCTTTCTACAGCTTCCATCTGATTCTTTCGAAATCTAAATCTTCATCGTAGTTCAATTGATTTATTGGTTACACATATGGATCGATCTGCTCATAATTAGGGTTAAATTTTTTGTAATTAGCACGGATTTTTAAAGTGAATTTGCAAATCGTGTCGACTGAGTGTAGAAGAGATCGGAGTGGGTTTCTTCATCGCGGGTGATTCAATTAACATCCTCAATCATGATGAATCGGCTATTTGGGAAACCCAAGCAGGAGTCAAATGCTCTCCAGACATTAGACAAGCTTAACGAGGTACATATCACTCGATTTCACTACTCTTCTGTGTCATCTCTGTTCGTATTGAAAATCGCCATAAGAGATCAGTTTGATCTATCTCTGTTAAGACCGTTGATGAAAATATTACTTTGCATCCATTTCTTCGTTTGTGTGTAGTAGAGATTATAGTTGATACTCAAATGATTGATATGGAGACTAAAGCAGGAAAAATTTCGACTTTAAAATTGAATTGGGGATTTCTGGTGTACAATGGATATGACATTTTTGCTTTTACCATATCCAAGTTTTGTTCATGTTCCTTCAATGTCTACTTTCCCATGGTTGTTGCTCACTGTAACGTTTGTTAACGGGACAGACTCTTGAGATGCTAGAGAAAAAGGAGAAAGTACTCCTGAAGAAGGCTGGACAAGAGGTTGAGAAGGCAAAAGAATACACCCGTGCAAAGAACAAACGCGGTACAATCAAATTGTTTTTGTCACTATTGTGTTTTTTTATATTCAATCTAAGATTGTAGTGCGTTGTTATTATTACTGGAGTACTTAGCTTTGTTGATTTTGTGCAGCGGCTATACAGTGTTTGAAAAGGAAGAGGTTATATGAGCAACAAGTTGAACAGCTTGGGAATTTCCAGCTGCGTATACATGATCAAGTGAGTTTTCTCTCATTTTAATTAGTACCCTTTAGCAGTGATCGATGAATTTATCGGGATTGTGTATCTCTTTCCAAACAGATGATTATGTTAGAAGGCGCAAAAGCAACAACCGAAACTGTAGATGCATTGAGGAGTGGAGCTTCTGCAATGAAAGCAATGCAGAAAGCAACGTAAGTGCTTACCACTTTTTCTCCATATTTACCCTTTACTACATTTTCTTGCTATCGGTCCCGTGGAATCGTTAACTCGAAGACACTCTGTTTTGCAGAAATATCGATGATGTGGACAAGACCATGGACGAGATCAATGAGCAGACCGAGAACATGAAACAAATCCAAGAAGCATTGTCGACTCCAATCGGAGCGGCGGCTGACTTCGATGAGGTAATTTTCTTGCACCCTCACATGATCATTTTTGTTCAGCTAATTGATCTTTGTCTAAGAAACTTCTCTGTTGATAGGATGAGCTTGAAGCAGAGCTTGAGGAACTAGAAGGTGCAGAGCTTGAAGAGCAACTTCTTCAGCCGACAACAACCGCTCCATTGCCTACAGTTCCGATGCCTGCAGGGCGTCAACAAGCCCGTCCCGCTGCTCAGAAGCGGACCGCTGAGGAAGAAGAACTCGCTGCTTTACAGGCTGAGATGGCCCTCTAAGGTCACTTCCACTTCTCTTATCTATAAGCAAAACACATTTGTTTTTAAACACAAGTTTTTCCTTTTACATTTGCCTTTATATGTGGGAAACAAAAATTCACATGTAAGTGGAAACGAAAATTCACGTTTTTTTTTATTATAAAACATTTTCTACTGTACAAATTGCAAACGTAAACGTCAAATGTGAGGTTCTTTCAATTTGGATTTCTAACTAATTACTCTCGCAAACAGCTTGGTTTTTTAACCGCAGGTTATTTCACGTCCCTGAGCAGATATGTATGCATTGATAAACAAGAACAGACGATGTATATAAGGATCCAAGTCAAATTAATTCGGAGCGAATCTTTAAATAATCCTCGTTGTGGATGTTATCAACATTTGAGTGTTGTTTTTATATTTTGTATCTTTTGTGACACTTTTCTTTTGGTAATCTGCTGGGTTACCACTTAGTACTTCAATTACTACTCCTTTCATCACTCTTTTTCAATTACTGCTCGTACTTTCGTCACTTTCTCGCCTTATAAGCCAACTATGTACGGTCAACCATGAGTTGACTTTTGTGCTCTAAAAATCATGCCGTTTGGAAATCTTAAAACTGAACTCCGTAACGTTCTTTAGTTTAATCCAAATTCTGATTTTACAATGGAATAATAAAACGAAAAAAAGAAAATTATTATTTAGCGAGGGATAAAACCCCGCCCAAGTTTCCGAGCTTCTTCAACAATTTTCATTTCGAATTTTATAGAGGGAGGAGAGAGAGAGAGAGCAGAGGAGTGAAAAGGTGTAGGAGAGATTGACATCCTTTGGATTACATCATCAGGAACAACGGATTCACCATGGTAATTTACGCTGGACGATCTTTCTCTTCTCTACTTCTGATTATGATTCGCTTTTTAATCTCTGTGATTTGTGAGTTTTGTTTTGCTGAGAAGATAGTGATTCTACGCGATTCTGTGAAACCATAATCACTATGCAACGAGCTTAGCTTGCTTGTGTTTCTTTCGGCTCGGGAGAGCTTTGTTTATGTTCGATTCGACCTATTTGTTTGATATGTTTGCAATCCCGATGTGATTTCCTATTGTTCTTCGCGAAACCTGATTTCAAATTCTGTCCTAGTGTGGATCGATATCACTGTTTCTTCTGTGGCTGGTGAAAATATCTGTCTGAGGAAATTCCGCAAACACTTGGGCTGCACGAGGCGAATCGATAGGTGTCTCCGATTTGCATTATCTGTAAATATTTTCGCACTCTACACTGCAAATCAGTGTAGTCGCTGAATTGATTTACTTTTTGGATTTTGTTGTTCCATCATTTGCTGGATATCGTCATTCAAACTCCGAAGCTTTTTTAAATTTTTTAAAACTAATTTATCGTTTCAACTGAATCGCTGCGTTCTGTCTTTGTTAAAACTCAGTCGAAGAAACGGGGACTTTCGTTAGAGGAGAAGCGGGAGAAGATGCTTCAGATATTTTACGAGTCTCAAGACTTCTTCCTGGTGAGCACTTTTGTACTAATTGTTAATTTTGAACGCCTTTAAACTAGCTTTACCTACCAAAATTCACCGTCGTCAAGTTGTTTGGGATAACGATCACTTATGTGTCTCTTGTTTTGTGAACATATTTCAGCTAAAGGAGCTCGAGAAGATGGGGCCTAAAAGGGGTGTAATTAGTCAGTCTGTGAAAGATGTTATCCAGAGTTTAGTTGATGATGATCTCGTCGCAAAAGACAAGATTGGGATTTCTGTGAGTGGCTACTGTTCCCAAATTCATTTGTTGCCATGCAGTCCTCGTTGCTATTATATATCTCTTGACAGTGTTCATTATTATATAAATGCAGATCTACTTTTGGAGCCTTCCCAGCTGTGCTGGCAATCAAGTGAGCCACCGTTCTCATCTTCATCTAAGTATAATGATATTATTTGATTTCAGTATCTAATGCTTAACTATTTTGAATGAACAGCTTAGGAGTATTCGCCAGAAACTTGAATCTGATCTTCAGGGTTGTAATAAAAAGCTAGCAGAACTTATTGATCAGTGTGATGCTCTAAAGAAGGGAAGGGAAGAAACAGTAAGTATTTATTTAAGTACTGCAGAATAAATGGTTTAATAAGCATACATGCTCTTTTCATCAGAATTGCTGTTCTGGCTGCAGGAGGAAAGAACAGAGGCTTTGGCGCAACTTAAAGAAATTGAAAAGAAGCACAAAGAGCTGAAGGTCAGATAACATTGGCGATCTGTTTGTATAGAGGTATTCATACGTTTAGCAAGTCGGTAATGGTTTTTGTTCTTATGCAGGATGAGATGGTACAATTTGCTGACAACGATCCAGCTACCTTAGAGGCAATGAGTTAAGATCTGCATAACGTGTTACTTTTGTTTTCTGTTAACTTTCCTCTATCTTCGTGGAGCAGAAATAAGAACAAATCTTTTGTTGTACTAGCTGTATCAATGTGTTGTTCCTTGTAATTTGGACAGGGACTGCAATTGAAGTTGCTCACCAATCGGCTAACAGATGGACAGGTTTTTCATTTTGAAAACTTGGACATACGTTTTCAGTTTAAAATGTTCATAATTTTGGCCTAAAATTCTTTCAAACTTTCTCAGATAACATCTTCACATTGCGACAGTGGTGTTCAAACAACTTCCCCCAGGCCAAGGAACAGCTCGAACATCTTTACACAGAGGTATCTTCCAGATCTGTTCACCTATAATGCTATCAATTCCAGATTTCACATTTTTTACATGAAAGAGAGTCTTAATCAGATGTGGAATTTTCAGGTGGGTATCACTGAAGACTTTGATTACATAGAGCTATCTTCATTCCCGTTGAGCTCATCCCATGATCCCGATACTTCAAAGCAGCTGCTAGTAGAAGATGAAGCTTAGTTCCAATACTTTCCAGCATAGCTTAAATCCTATCCTTTAAGTTTCTCGTTCTTTATCAGTAGTCCTTAAGGTTGCAATGGTCTGTCATTCAAAACTCGTTCACCACAGTTTTGTGGTTAACTAAGATTCTCACTGCCTCTGATTTTTCGGTGTATATTTCGGCTAATATCCAATGTTGGCTTTGTCATGCTTCTTTTGTTATAAGATTTTAGAGTTATATATCTGGTTTCAACTATTGACCCACAGGCAATTTGTTGACAGCTGTATTACAATATTAAATTATTTCCTGGCCGCTTTTTTAATTTCAGTCGTGAGCAGCACTTATATTACACAGAAAAAGGAAATAGGGCGTAGACTTTGTACTTTCGTGTATTTTTGTGTTTCTGTGTTATCTTAATCGCAGGTTGTCTGTTTTTTTTCCGACGATGACGATGAACTGAGAGCTTCACAAAAGGAGAAAGAAGATGGGAGCTCACTCTGTTTTTCTCATCCTTGTTTGCGTCATTGGCACTGCCATTGTGGTTCATGGCCAAGGCCAAGCAGGTCCGTGAGACTTATTCTTAGTTATTTTCCTCATTTTGTGTCCATTTTGACTGGAAAATGCTTTGGACAAGGGATTTTTGAAGTTGTGATATTATTTTTACGATGGCACAAAATGAAGTTTCTTATGATCATAGAATGAGTTGCATTTAAATAGGGTCCACGGCTGTTTCAAAGATTTAAATATTCTAGGTTCTAAAATTTGAGAAGTTTGGTAGATATTGTTAAACTTGTCTTGAAATCTTGATCAGACATTTCTCAAAAGTTTGTTGAATGAATTGACGTCTTTTACATTCTTCTCTTGATTCAGGCTTCATCAGCATAGATTGTGGGTCACCACCTAATATAAACTATGTAGACACTGATACTGGTATCAGTTACACATGGGATGCACCGTTCATAAAAAGTGGAGTAAATGTGAACGTCTCTGAAGAATATGGTTACCCGAAAAACCCGGTTTTGCCATTCCCGCTTGCTGATGTCAGATCTTTCCCTCAAGGAAACAGGAACTGTTACTCCTTAACCCCTTCGGATGGTAAAGGGAATCTTTATCTCATCAGAGCTTCGTTTATGTATGGAAACTACGACGGTGACAACGCTTTGCCTGAGTTTGATCTCTATGTAGACGTGAATTTCTGGACCTCAGTGACATTCAGAAATGCTTCTGAGAACGTCATCAAGGAGATCCTAAGCTTTGCAGAGTCAGAGACAGTATACGTTTGCCTTGTCAACAAAGGTAAAGGAACTCCTTTTATTTCAGCCTTGGAGCTCAGGCCAATGAACAGCTCAATCTATGGCACTGAATTTGGAAGAAATGTCTCTTTGGTTCTCTATCAAAGATTGGACACAGGATATTTGAACGGAACAGGACGGTACCAGAAGGATGTATATGATCGTATTTGGTCTCCGTACTCTCCAGCCTCTTGGAAGTCAACCATGACAAATGGGTATATCGATATTTTTCAGAGCGGTTACAAGCCACCAGATGAAGTTATAAAGACAGCTGCTTCGCCTAAAAGCGATGACGAACCATTGGAACTGTCGTGGACATCAGATGATCCAAATGCTCGGTTCTATGCATACCTTTACTTTGCAGAACTCGAAAATCTCAAGAGGAATGAGAGCAGAAAAATCAGGATATTCTGGAACGGGTCGCCTGTTTCAGGAGCTTTCAACCCCTCTTCCGAGTATTCAATGACAGTGTCTAATTCGCGAGCTTTCACCGGTAAAGATCACTGGATTTCCGTCCAGAAGACCTCAGATTCAACACTTCCACCAATACTTAATGCCATCGAGATTTTCTCAGCACAATCTCTGGATGAATTTTCCACCACAACTGAAGATGGTGTGTTCATCTATACTTTGTTAGTCAGCTACCTGTGTTCAGTAAGATTTCCACAGAGACTGACATTTTTCCATTTTCTCTTGTTACTACAGTTCGCGCCATAGAAAGCATAAAATCAACGTATAAACTGCAAAAGGTTTGGAGTGGTGATCCTTGTTCCCCAAGTTTATTCCCTTGGGAAGGTATTAGATGCAGCTACAACAATTCTAGTCATCAAATCAAGTCCCTGTAAGACATTCATTTCAGCCAAACAAAAAAAACTTCATTTTTTGATCTCCCTCAGCAAAAGTTTTGCTGATGAGTTTGTTTCTGCGTGAAGGAATCTTAGCTCAAGCGGATTGCATGGACCAATAGCCTTCTCATTTAGAAATCTCTCCAACCTTGAGTCACTGTAAGTATACAAGCCTGCCATACATACACTACTGTATAAACAATAGACTAAAAGAGGTTGGCATTATTTTCCCAGGGATTTGTCAAACAACAGCCTGAAAGGATTTGTGCCGGACTTTTTGGCTGATCTAAAACTTTTGAAGTACCTGTGAGTTGAGCACATAAAAACTTCGTTTGAGTCTATATTCACAGTTTGACAGACGGATTAAATCATGTTTTTGTTATTTGTGTTGCAGGAATTTGAAAGGAAATAATTTCACTGGGTATATCCCAAGATCTCTTAGAAAAAGATCAGTGGATGATGGATTAGTACTCAGGTACATCTTCTAGTCAAAGTCACTGCACCATAGTCATCTTTTGCAGATAATCCGAGTCTCTGATACCATTTTTTCTAAAGCTTGTTGATTTCTCTCTGTTTCCAGTGTGGATGAACAAAACATTTGTCACTCACGTTCATGTCGGGACAGGAGCAGAATCCTAGTGCCAATAGTTGTATCCACATTAGTGGTCGTTCTTATTGCCGCCTTGGTTGTCATATGCATCTTGCGAAGGGAAAGAAAAATAAGTAAGACGCACAGTCATTTACTCCGATTCAGGATTAGTAAAAGTCAGTTATATTTTGCTGAGAGAAAACGAGTGTTTAATTTCCTAGTGTATTCAGGAGCCTATTCAGGACCACTCCTGCCTTCAGGGAAGAGAAGGTTCACGTATAGTGAAGTCTCTAGCATTACAAACAACTTCAATAAAGTGATCGGTAAAGGAGGGTTTGGTATTGTGTACCTCGGTTCCCTCGAAGATGGGACTGAAATTGCTGTAAAGATGATAAACGATTCTTCATTTGGAAAATCTAAAGGATCATCATCATCATCATCATCATCATCATCCCGTGTTTCCAAAGAATTCCAAGTCGAGGTAATCTAAAATAACACCACTGAACATTATCAGATATTGTAGACAATGTTGTTTTATGGTTGCTGAAGTGTGAAAATGTTTTGCAGGCGGAGCTTCTTTTGACAGTTCATCACAGGAACTTAGCCTCCTTTGTTGGGTACTGTGATGATGGTCGCAGTATGGCTCTCATCTACGAGTACATGGCCAATGGTAACTTGCAGGATTATCTATCAAGTGAGAACGCAGAGGATCTTAGCTGGGAAAAGAGACTCCATATAGCCATAGACTCTGCACAAGGTTGGTCCCTGCATATAGCTAAACCGAGATATCAAACCCGGTATTGTCTTGTTTAGGCGTGAAACCCGTTTTTTAATTTGTTTTCCTCGGCAGGGTTGGAGTATCTGCACCATGGATGCAGGCCACCAATAGTACACAGAGACGTTAAAACAGCAAACATCCTATTAAATGATAACTTGGAAGCCAAGATTGCTGATTTCGGTCTTTCTAAGGTCTTCCCTGAGGACGATCTCAGCCACGTCGTGACTGCAGTCATGGGCACTCCCGGCTACGTCGATCCTGAGTACGTTTCCTTTTACACATGCCCCTGTTCAACTGATAGATCTGTTCGGTTATTTTCGGTTTGCGTAGATAAATGAACCGTTCAAGACAAAGTGTTAACGATTTTACAAATTTGGCGCCACATGACAGGTACTACAACACGTTTAAGCTAAACGAGAAGAGCGATGTGTACAGTTTCGGGATCGTTCTCTTAGAACTTATAACCGGTCGGAGATCAATAATGAAAACCGACGACGGAGACAAAATGAACGTTGTCCACTTCGTCGAGCCTTTCATCGATTTCGGAGACATAGATGGTGTCGTCGACGCACGGCTTCGCGGCGACTTCTCCTCAAACTCAGCTTGGAAGTTCGTAGAGGTCGCAATGTCTTGCGTTAGAGACAGAGGAACTAACAGACCAACAATGAACCAGATCGTGTCTGATTTAAAACAGTGCTTAGCCGCTGAGCTGGGTCGTGAGCCACGGAGCCATCATGAGAAGGAAGTAGTGAAAGAGAAGAACACGAAGTCGCAGATTCGGAATTATAGTAGCGATGAATATATTAGCTCGACGGGATCGGTTTCGATTACTTTTGGAGATTACAACACGTTTGGCCCAACGGCAAGGTAGTGAGAATTAAATCAAGGTTTGATTGATATCTTTAAATTATTTTCTGTGTTTGTTTTTGAGGTGTTCTATAATTTGATTGAGTTAAGATTTAAATTTTCCTTTTTTTTTGGTTTAAAGATTCATTCGATTTTTTTTTTGTTTTCTTTTTGAGAAAATTTCTAACCGCGAAAAGATTAAATGTAAGAAAAAAATTGGTATATGTTTTTTTAATGAAATGAATTTGCTTGTTACTTGCTAGGCGTGTTTAATTCCCATCACACAACTGAAAGTCTGAAATTTTCGATATGAAAGCAATCTATGCATAATAATTAAACCGGAATTGGATAAACTTAGATTAATTTGTAATTTGTTTCTGTTGTTCTCTATATCAATACATCTACAGTTCATTTTATTTAACAGATAGAAAACTTGTTCATTTTTTTGACAAAATATCATCATTTTTCATTTGATGGTGGTGGTGTATAATTATAAACTGTCTTGGTATGAGCTCTAGTGAAGTTTAGAACGACAATAAGGTTGAAGGAATTCGGTTAGGACTTGGATTTTGTGATTACAAATTTATGAGACTAACGAGAATTAAGGCGACAATACATTTTTTACATGGAACATTCTGAGAGTTTCTAAGACCAGGTCCATTGAAATTTCTTAAGGATTTTATGATTAGATTTTTTAGGGTTTAAAATTAAATAAATAAAGCCTAAATTCTATGAATCGATTCTTACAGAAGGATTTTTAGGATCGATTTTTACAAAATTTTTAGAACAGCTGTCACGTGTTCATTAGTTTTGGCTAAAAGAAAACATTGAAACAGCGTCTCTCTCCAAATGGCTTTTTACTTTTTACTGGTCATCTTCTTCATCTACGCTCTTTCTTTAAAAGACCTTTAATGAAGGAGTAAAATATTAGAAAATCTTAACTATTCAATAAAAAAAACATAATAATTAAAAATTGCTAAAAACTCTAAGAAAGAGTTTTTTGATGGACATGCTCTAAAAACTTGTAAATTTTTTTAAAAAAATCTTGTCAAAACTTATAAAGGTTTACTAAAATTTTGTTATAATACTAGAAACATGTTTACAGGCAAAGAGTTCATGTGGCTTAAAAGATGTTTGAAAGTAAGAATATACAACAAACAATAATTTCTAACGTTTCTAAAGTTTCAGAACAGTTGTGATAATATTTGATAACATCAACCGAAAAACATGAATGTCCCCTTATATTTTTGGCGTTTCAATTAACAATATTAACCCAAATAAGTTTCTGTCAATTACTCATAGTCTAAAATTGTGCTTAGACAAATAAGTTTCTCTAAATTTCTGCCAACCCAAGAATAGGATTATTAACATTTTTAAAGTGCTATGTTATTTCAGTAGATTGAATTTTCAGAATGTGTTACATAGGTCATTCTCATGCCCCT